TCTTTTCTTTACACTAGCCAAAACCAAATCCTGCAGCTGTTCTTCATATATTTTAGTCTTCAGGCCTTTGATCATCTTAGTTGCTCTTCTCTGAACTTTTTCCAAAGTCTAAAACGCTTTCGTCTTGCAATATATGAAAAAATTAAAGTCTAACTAACATTGTGGATATTAAAGTTCCTGGGCTAAGTTTTTATATTAGTTAATTTTTGTTTGATAATCTGTAAGTATATATCTTCTTACAGGACACAAAACAATTTAGATGTTTATTCCCTAATAACCAGTTCCTTTAATTATTTTCACTTATTGATCTAAAATCTGGTGACAAAACTGCTGGTTGGCTCTTGCCTATTATAGATTCCTGCCATCCACTTGATTAAATAGCACTATTAAAGAAAATCATGAAATAATTTTTATGTCCAATATTCTTCCCACTCTTTATTATTCTCAAGATTTCTTTCCTTTCTTAATAATAAATCTTAAAAATAGAATCTGTTTTCTCTCCATCTTCTCCTTTAATATGTCACCAGCCCTTTGGTGAGCTGACGACAGTGTTCATAGATTCTGACCCTACCCAACTATAAATGTCGTCATCATCATCACTTTTCATTACCTAATAATTATATGCTGATTCGTTTCCTATTATGGCCACACACACAATATTATCCACTACTCTGAAAAAATAATCCATTAGACACACCCCTTTTCATTAATTGTCCAATTTTCCTTTCAGTTCTTTAACTCTGGGTTGCTAAGGATTGCTGCTTCTGATCTCTTCAAATCCTCTCTACTCATTCACAAATATCAATGACAGTTAAATCCTGTGCTCTAACCTTATACATTTGATGTCGGTAGAACTTTTTTTTTAATGCTTAGCTTGGAAATCTGGAAATTATGTCTCAAATTGAGAGGAAACTAGATTGATGAATGTTGCTTTACCATCTATATTACTAGAACCTTACTTCCTTGAGTCTACATTACTATAACCTTTCTTCCTCTGATGTCACAGTTCGGCAACACACCCTTCTTTTCAGAAGAATCTTGTGAAAATATATTTTATTCTTAATTATTTACATTGACTTTCTGCCAATTCGCAAATGCCGCACAATACTTCTAAGCCCTTATCCCTCTATGCTCATATCATAATATAGCCTTGATAAAGACCTTTGTAATATAGCCTTGATAAAGACCTTTGATAAAGACTTTTCCAGCTTCATCCTTGTTGTCTAGTTTGTGTTTTCTCAAATAACTCCATTCTTTTTCTTTTACTTAGTCTTCCAAGATACCTGCATGATGCCATTTATTTTTCCTCCAAATAGTTTTACCATTATGGTTTTGCAGCAATCCAGTAATTCCTCTATCCTGAGGTAGGAAGGAGTAATTATGCTGGTGGAAATTTAAATCCAGAATCTGAAAGCTAACAGATTCTCCAATCAACCCCTAAAATACAGGTGTACTTTAGTATTAAGTATTTTAAATATTAAATAATTAAGTGGAATAAAAGTATTTTATTTGCAGGAAACTTTCCGGCTAAGTTGCTGAGTGGTTTTGACAAGGAACCTTACAGCTGAAGAAATCTGCTCAAACTACAAAAGATATTAACAGAATGATAGAAAGAACGTAATGGTACTCTTACTAGTCTACATAAAATGCTACATATCAAATTAAAATAAGAGTGCAAAGGAGAAAAGTAGCATGCTACCCATTTAACCAAATTTCCAAAGCTTAAATTTGGGAATTAATCTACTACCATGGTAGAAAGGGGCAAATTAAAAAATGTCTTCAGTTCACCCTTTTATTTTAAAAATAAATAAATAATATTTTCATTTTAGACCATTCCATGACATTTTTGATGTTTAGAAATGAATAAGCAAAAATTTCATATCAAGTCAACTATGGCAATTCAAACCTTGCCATAAAAGAAATAATAGATATATAGGTGTCAAATTTTCTTCCTAGCTGGAAAGAGTTAATTCAAAGAACAAGTCTGACAGAGTCCTGTTAGTAGTCCTTAAGAATGATGTTAAAATTACAATGTAAAAATTCCACCAAAAATATTCTTTCAAATGAGAAACCTATACATACGTAATCTAAAATGACAATATTCTAGTCTGTTTTTTCATAGTTTTTGGTGCAAAGAGCAGCATGCTGTCTATTCTGTGAAATCAGGGCAGTCTGTATATATTTATATTATTTTGGTACTTGTGGGCTAAGCTTCTTAACGGTGTGAGAAATTACTCTTAAAAAGAAATTATAAAAGCTCAGATGCAAGGAAGTATTTTAGACCAGTGATCCCCAACCTTTTTGACGCCGCGGCCCGGTACCGGCATCAGCTGGGCACCGCGGCCCGGTACCGGCATCAGCTGGGCGCCGCCATCTTTTTTTGATGAAAAAGTGCTTCCGGTGAGCTTTCTACCCGGAAAAGCTCACAGGAAGCACTTTTTCATGAAAAAAAGATGGCGGCGCCCAGCAAGCCAGCGGCCCGGTAGGAGTTGTTCCGCGGCCCGGTACCAGTCCGCGGCCCGGTGGTTGGGGACCCCTGTTTTAGACCACTTTGCATGTGATAATGAACACTAATTCCTCTTAGCTTCAACAGGCCTCATGACTTCTAATAGAACCTTCTTGCTCATTGGTAAATATCCTTTTAATAATTAGTATAGTAAGTATATATTAGGCATACATATACTGTGTAACACATACTCTAATCCAGGCGTCGGCAACCCGCGGCTCCATCTTTCAGCGCTCTGTTGAGGCACCCTGTCCCATCACTGGCTAGCCACACCCCTTGCTCTCCCCTCCCTCGCCTAGCCTGAGAAGGTAAGGACAATGGCAGGAGATGGAGAAGCAGCCAGGGCTGATTCTCCGGCACCTCACTCTTGCTGGAGCTTCTTCTGGCCCTTGTTGGTGCTGGGCATGCCTCAGTCACTTGGGGAGACATGCAACCTGCTCTCCACCCCGATATACTGGCCCAACCCAGCCACAACTGATGCCAGCCTCGCTAACATGAGGGCTGGCAGGGTGGGAATGGGATCTGGGAGAAGGGGATGATGGAAAGGGGGGTGGGCCCGCAGCACCCAGCCGTGGCTTTAAGAATCTCAGAGCAAGGATAGGCTAGTAAAGTAGAGGATAAAATAGAAAATTTTCAACAAACAATGACTAAGAATGAACAATATATCCGGAAAGTGGAAGAGAAAGCTGAACAAACAGAGAAAAGTGTGGAAGAGGTCGATTATAGACTCACGCTGGCAGACAAAAATCAGGAGAGAGCAATAATACTATTAGAGATGGAAGGCTGAGTATTATTTATGCTTTCAGAACATTGAAGAAAAGGGATAAAATTTGGCGGAAATAATGGCAGAGCTGCTGGCAAATGCTTTAGAGAAATCCAAAGAAAAGGTGCTTGCTGAGGTGGATGAAATATTTAAAGTCCATACTAGATATGTGACAAGAAACAGACTTCCCAGAGAGGTACATGTGAGATTTACTAAAAAGGCAATAAGAACAGAGATACTACAAAGAGCAAGGGACGAACCCATAAAATATAAGGAGAAAGAAATAGTGGTTCTAAAACAGATCCCCAGAAGAGTTGAGAGAGATAAGAAGGGAATATCAATTTTTAACAAATCAGTATGTTAAGAATGGAGTAAATTTTAGATGCCTGATACCAGAGGGAATATTGGTGACTTGGATGGAGCAAAGACACAGATTAGATTCCATAGAAAAAGCAGAACAATTTTATGACTACTATTTTGAAACACAAGAAAAAGTGATAGCAAGAGGGGAAAAGGAGGACAGACAACAAGAGGAAGCTACAGGAGAAAGAGATATACAACAAAAGAAAGATGAAAGAGAAGCAGAGGAAGTAGCAAAGAGAGAGGGTGCAAAAGCAAAAGAACAGAGACAAGAGTGACAAGAGTGACTAGAACAACAAACCTATTTATAAGTAAATTATGGGAGGAGAAATAAAACTATTGTCAATTAACATAAATTGATTGAATTTGGCTATAAAAAGGAAAAGGACTTTTAGCAAATTAGAAAAATTAAAGCTGGACATAAATTTGCATACAAGAGGTACATATTAAAAAACAATACAATTATTGGAATACCCCAAAATTGGGAAATTATATAACCTCCTTATCACAAGAAGAGAAGAGTAGTACTCTATGTAAAAGAAATAATAAACGCTAAGCAAATATTTGTGGATGAAGAAGGGAGGATTTTGATGGTGGAGATAACAATGAATCAAAAACAGATACTCCTGGTAGCAATTTATGCACTAAATAGTAAAGAAGAGGACTTTTATAGTAAACTACATAAGAATATAGCAGAATTGGAGTATGAAAATATTTGTGTATTGTTTCATTCAGATTATAGCTAGTAGACTTCTCAGATTTTCCTGACCAGTCCACACTTTTAGCAATGTCCAAACGACAAACAAGTATTATGAACTCCCTTCTGCCTCTAAAGAGCCTGAAACAGGCAAAGGCTGGATTTGTGTAGTTTTTGAGAGTGGATTATCCCTTTCTTTCATATTCTTCTTCATGTCTGCAGAGTTGTGGTTGCGACATTTTTCACCCTAGTGCAGAGCAGTCCTTACACCTGTTGTATATTCTGTTTCCTGGGTGTGAGTGGAGAAGAAATGTATTTATTTCTAATTACTTAACGCGAGGGAAAGAGAAACCCGATTGTTATTGCTGTCGCTTTCAAGTGCAAACTCAATACTTTCTCCTCTCCCTTTGCTCGAGATCTACCATCTGATGGATGGAAGGACCCAGTTAAGGAGTCCTGGCGTCTTGGAAAGGCAGGAAAAAACCTGTCCTGCTCCAACCCAATCGGAGGTCTTCAAAGGCAGTCCCAAAAACTCTTGTTAGGAAGAAAGGAAACGGCCCCACCCCTACAGCTGTAAAATGGAACTCAGGAGCAACTTTCTCCTCCTTGCCCGGCATGCTTCGCCTACCTCTTCGCCCCAAGGACGCCAGGCACAATAACATTTCCCGGCTCACCTCGCTCAGGCCGGCGGCGAAGCCAGATAGGATTCCCAGACTCGCGACCAGGCGCTGCTGGAAGCGCGACCTTCGTCCTCCGTCCCCTGCGCTCTTCCTTCTTCTCCGGGGGCGCCCAGCGGTCCGCTGCCCAGCCCTGGTCCCTTCCAGCCCTGGCCACGCACCCGGCCGACCTCTCTGCTTCGAAGTGGGACACACACAGCCCGCTCGGGATCGGCTGCGCTGGGAAGGCAGCCGACCGCTTTGAAGGCGAAGGCACAGCGGCAACCGCCAGGAGGAGGGAACGCGGGCGGGAGGAGGAATTAGAGGTCCGGAAACTCCTTAGAAGTGGCGTGGCGGGAGCGCTGGTCGTTTCAGTTTTCGAATAAAATAGCGAATTGGATGCACTTTCAGAACAAGCCGCGTTCGAATAGCGAGGAAAAAATGGCTTTTCGCCAAGCATGGCTTTCCCGCCTGGCAACTGATCGCCGGGAGAGCCACGATTGCTTGTCTGTCCTTTCTCCAAACCGCAAGACTCCGGCGTGTATTTGATGGAAGTGCATGCCTTAACTTGCTCTGGATTCTGCCCGTGCTAGTTTGTCACGGAAGGTCACTACGGATGAGAACAAGGTTTGGGGTGCCCGAAAGAGCAGAGGGGCTCAGTTGGCTCTGGGACAAAAAAAAGACCCCCCCCCAAGTTTCAATAAGAGAAGAGTAGCTGGAAAGCAGAGAAATGCCGCTGCCACGTGAGCTTTCTCTTCCTAGAGCTCTTTTCTTCTCTTTGATTTACATCTAGGATCAGCTGTTAGTTGGCTTGAGGCCTCCTTGATGGTCTCTGAGCTTGCTTGAATTCTTGCAGACGGGTTCGTTACCCAAACTCGGTTAAAACCATCAGTGCAGCACATTACCTAGTTTGGGTAATGAACTGTCTGCAAGAATTCAAGCAAGCTCAGAGACCACCAAGGACCCCTCATGTCAACCCTGAGCTACAAATATTCTCCTTTATTATTAGTTGGTGTGTTCTTTAATCCCTTCCTTCACTGCAGAGGAGTGGTGGTGAATTTCTTGTGTGTGTGTGTGTTTTAAGAAAAAGCAACATTTTCTATCATGTGCTTCAGTATATTAAACTAGAATTTTACAGCATATATGAAACTCCCCTAACTCCTAGCTACAAATAATCATTGGAATTGAAGGCCAGCAAACTCAAAGGTACCTGCTTAGAACAAGAACATTAAACATTCACTTTCTGTACCCTCTGCATCAGTCAACATTTACTCCCATTGTTATAGCAGATGCCTTTATTCTTGGCTTGCATAGAAAGGTTTCGTAGACTTTATTCACTTGGTGATTTATTCATCTCCATACCATGGCAAGACAGTTTTTATAATTTTCTCACTATTTTTACTCCATATACTCTGCTTTCAATAAATGTCGTGGTTTATTCTGGATATAAAGCACTGTCTCCAGTAGTTGTAACAGTTGAATTCTGCAGCTTCTACTCTGTTCTAGGAACTGAAATATGCTGTATGTATCTGTTCAGAATTTGTGGTTGCATTTATTTGTTTTTATTTAGGTAAGATGTACAAATTTTAAAAGAGATAATAGAGTAATTACAGCTATTTTGAAAAATTAACTGTAACATGAACAAAATGAAGTATGGTGGTTGATCAAACTTCATCCTCATCAATATACAGCTTGTGTATATTTGTAGATATTGTACTCTCTAATTGCAAATGGAGACATGGGTACTCTATTTTTCTTATTTTCATCTTTAAGTGCTTTGGTTTTATTGTATTGAGAACAGTTACTGGGGTGCATCCACAGTTTCGTTGTACTTGTACAATGACAATAAAGCTCTTCTTCTTCATCATCTTCTAAATTACCCATTTTAGAGTGTAATTTTTAAAAAAGTTCAGAGAAAACTAAGGATTTTACTTTAAGATACTGTGAGTTACCACAAGTATATGTAGTTGCACAAATGATGTGAACTAAATCAGATGAATAGGCCGATTTTCCAGTTGTTGGATTCAGCTCCATCATTCTCAGCCAATATAGCTAACAGAAATAATACAAGGTGTCTAACATTATTTGGAAGAATAAAGAGATTAGCCCCATCAAATTATGTTACATGACTGAATTTGGAACAATTTTATGAATGCCTTCTTTAAGAAGAAATTGTACCAGCTTGAAGCAGTATGTGTTCTGTGTTCTCCAACCCTTCGTGGTCTTGTGTCCTGAATTGGAAGCAGGATTTGCTGCAACAAGCTCACATGTTTTTATTTTGCTTTTCCCTGATTGTTCACTCATCTGGACTGCCTAATGCTAATATTGTTCAATAACTATTAAAAATTTCTGGTGTCTTCTTGATCCTGGAACTGTGTTCACATTAAAAATATACATGTGTGCATATATCAGTGCATATATTGATATGAGATAAATTATAGTGATAATAAGTAGGAATGTCATGAATTTGTAGCAACTTGAACATGTGTCCACCTATGCATATAGTTTTTAAAATTGTTCTAGGAGAACTGAGTAAGTCATATTTCAGATACAAAGATGTTTAGAAAAATATGTTATGCAATAGAAGAGAAAAAAATGTGCGTTTTTTGTTATATTTACTACAACTGAAGCAGTAAGTTAAATCAGTTTCATGGACATTTTCTAAGGAATTATTTAGAATAGAAATCAAGGAAAATGACCCAAAGATGCTCCAATTGTTTCAGTATGTCATGGTAATCCTAAAATAGTTCTGCAACTAAGCAATACAGAAGCTAATGCAATTATCTGTGGAAATGAATTTGAGGAAGTTCATTATCTTCAGTAAAAATTCATATCTTCTAAAGTATGTGTATGTAAACCAGATAAATAATATAATTGAATAATGTAGTCAAATGTTTTAAATTACATTCTGTATGATAGATCTGTTGGCTATGATTTTTTTTCCCATAGGTATATGTTATTTGCTCAAATAACAAGCCCTGAAGATTAAAAGCCAAGCTAATTCATATTTCAAATTTTGTCTACTGATAGCAAGTTGGCAGAAAAAGTTTTGCTGCCTAAGGATTTTTGAATATGCATGTATACCTTGTTGTGTATCTTTGTGTGTGTGTGTGTGTATGAGTGTGTATGTGTATTCTGCATTTATCTTTACATATGCTCTTTTATACTTCCATTTCATAGCTAAGGCTAAACAATAAATTATTCAACAAATGAATATGCTAAAGCATCCTGCTTTTCTCTTCTTCCTTCTTTTTATCTTGTGAGACAACTTCAGATAGGAGAGATAAGCTTTCTCTTCCTTGACTGTCAACACTAGGTTTAATATTTTATTAACAATAAAAGAAATTGTGGTTGGAAAAAATGGTTTGTTTGATTAAATCAGAAACAAATTGGATATTCAGAGGAATTCCAGGAGAAGGAGCAGCTACAGATATACTTAGAGCATTGCTGGAGAACAACAAAGCAGGAATCCAACCAAATACAGGTAAGGGCCTTTCTTAGGCATTATCTTATGGTGATAAGAACAGCAAAACTTAGAGTGGAGGGGTGGGGGTCATTGAATTCACAGACAGATAGCTGGTGACTAAGTTCAGGGTGACTTAGTTCGATTTGTTTAGAGTTGGATTTTAACTATACAGATCCTATGGAGGCTCTGAGTGACAGTCTTGTCTGGTTATCTTGGTGGATTTTGGATCTATTGGTTGGCAGAATCCTTGAGATTGTGAGTTTCTTATGGGGACAATAGGACAGTCTACTCATTAAGGCATGGATGACTGTAAAAAAAAAACCTAGTTCAGGAAAGAATGCAATTGACACTCAACATGAAGTCATGGAAAAGCCCTCTAGCACAGTTGCCACTTGTTCCTCAAACAGCTGCAAATCCCAGGAGACACCCACATTATGCCCTGGTTTGGTTTGGAATAAAAAAATCAAGGACAAACTAGATATAAATTCCTAGAACCAGGAAGCCACTTAGCTTGCAAAGGTGGAGCCAAATCCTCTTTTTAAATTTCCCCATCAAATATACCAGAGATACCTTGTTTCCCTGAAAATAAGACCTACCCTGAAAATAACACCTAGCCTGATTTCAACACATACACCTAATATAAAATAAGCCCTAGTGAAGGGTGGATGTGGCCAGCACAGGAGGCTGGTCTTCACGCGGCGGCACAGGCAGCAGATGGATGCAGAGGCACAGGAGGAAGTCAGGCGATCCTGATGCTCTATGCAAGCCACAGGCAAACTGAGAGACATGAAGACAAGCCTCCCACGGCTGCCTCCTGCTCCATCCCCCCATCTCTCAGCTTTCCCACAGCCCACACAGCGCATCCAGATTGTGTTCCTCCCCCTGCATCTCTGCCATCTGCTGCTTGGACAGGTAATCAACTCATCTGCGCTGTGCAAGCTGTGCAGCCCCAGAGTGTAGTGACCAAGGGGCCAGCAGGCTCAAGTTGCTGCTGGATAATGTCACTCCCCCATGCTCTCCGCCTTTTGTGCCCATGGGGGTGGGGTGGGGCACCCAGCCTGACTGATCACCTTGAAATTGTGTTTCCCCCAAAATAAGCCCTAGTGCTTATTTTGTAGCCCTCCAAAAATATAAGACCAGGTCTTATTTTCGGGGAAACACAGTACTAAAACAGAGCCTCCATAACATTATTTCATTGGCTCGGAAGAAATATAAAGCTGAGTATCATCAGCATAGTAATCATTCCTCAACTTGTGCTACTATATAACTTTACCCAATGGTTGCATAGAAATTAAACAGGTGTGGGGATAGTGTCAAGCTCTGAGGCACTCTGCAAAACAAATGATATGGGCTAGATTTCCCCACTCCTATATCAATACCATCTGGAACCAGCCCTAGAGGAACGAAGCAAAGCAATACAATTCATGGCCATCCACTCCCAGCCCCTGAAATTGACCCAGAAGGGTACCATGAATAATACAATTTTGCCTAGATTAATAAATTTTCCTTTTGAATGTGTGTTTATGTATTGGTAAAGTTAATGCAAATTCTTTAAAATAGGCCATATCAGCACATTTCCATATGAATTTGAGATATACAAATCGGTTATGCTCATATTGAAATGCAAACTAAAAAGCATT